GCTAGACCACGTGTTTGACTTCTTTGAGTTTGAGCTTCTCGTTCTTTTGTTCCTTGACTTCCTCCTTATGCCGATCATCATCGCAGCCGATCACTCTGGCTTATGACTCCACAGAAATTGGTTCTCGCTGGGTTGACCATATGGAAAAAGATGGACCATTAGATCAATCAAACTTATGTACCTAGATCAGTTGCTTATCGTTGGGAATGGGGCAAGCTTGATGATGCTTCATCTAACCATGGATGCTCTACTATTCATGATCTAACGGGAAAGGAGCTAATTCTAGTGAGACTCAAGTATCCGAAGATGTTGATTTGACTCTAACGACTAACACAGAGACACTGGAACAAGACGATGACTGACTAAAGAAGCTGAGGCCTCAACACAAAATGGCCTCATGTTGTTATTGTAAAGGAATCACTGCAGCAGTAAGTGTCCTTACAAGGATACTCTTGGTGTTATGACTGAGGAGTCCCTAACGAGCTTGGATTCTTAATTGAGTGAAGTAAGTAAAGGATTGATTTACTGATGGTCATGTACTGTACCTTTTAATTATTATAAAATTTTAGTATTTTAAAATTACCAGCTATACAGTATTTATCTTGATAAAATTTCGAGTAGAAGAGCTACATGTAAAACTTGGCAGACTACAATTGATGGACTTCAAGATGGTAATTACGATAGAATTATTTAATAATGTATAGTACTATTCTCTCTCTCTCCATCTTGTAGTTGATGTTTCAGAATTTGTTCAAGGGAAGGTGCTCGTTGAAGTCGTTGCCGTTACGTTAGTTACAAGGAGCCATGCCCACTTGAAACAGACGAGGGAGATGATGTTAGCAGGTGTTGCGTTGAAGCTAAAGCTAGTAACATACTGTGTGATGTAATTATGATGTCATGAACTTTAGATAAAAATAAAGTCTTGTATTGATAGTGTCAGTGCCTATATTGATTGCTCTTTTACTCAAATTTTACATGTTAATCAGGTACAAAATAAGTTTTTTAAATGTAATTTTAAATCATTTCCTAAGTATTCAGGAGGTTATTTGACCTTTGTGTGTTCCCGTGACCTTTTGGCCTTTCAAACTGAAGCACATCATGACCCACAGGATTGAATTGATCACACCTTCTCTCTACCTCTCGGACTTTCTGCATCACAAGATAGACAGCATAAGGTATGTTATTAAAACTTTCTATGTACACTGTATATAACATGTAACATATACATACAATACATGTACATGTACATCATTATGCATCAGAAAATGTAATGAAAATTGAGGGGTATTTTTGAGTCATTTTTACATGTACATCTAGTACAAGGGACCTTGGCCCAATTTTTGATTACTTTAAAAAATTTATAGAAAATCCAAACTTCATTGGAATGAGTTCAGACTTTCTACACAACATAAGTACATGTACATGTATCAGAAAAAATTATAAAAATAGAAATTTCTCTCCTTGTCATTTTTGACGAAATTTGGCCAAGACCCCTGTTATAGTACGGGGACTTTTGCCCGATTTTTGAGCAACTTTTAAAAATTCTTATAAAATCCAAACTTCATTAATATCAGTTAAAACTTTTATACACAACATAAGAATGTATACATATCAGAAATAATTATAAAAGTAGCAATTTTTCTCCTTTTCATTTTTGATGAAATTTGGCCACATACCCTGTACAGTGGAACCTCCGAATAACGGACACATTGGGACAATTAGTTTTGTCCTTTATTTGTAGGTGTCCTTTATAAGGAGGTTATTATATATTAGCGCATTATTTAAATAATTCATGTTTTTTTATTAAAAATCATTTGCTGTCAAAGACACATAGCTATCCAGGCTTTTTAATATGTTTAAGGAAGGTAATTATGGATATTCAACATAATGTAGTACACACGGACCATCATCAGTGCAGTGGATGGTGTCTCCTTCCAGTAAGTTGTCTAGATATATCTTCTTAGCAATGACATTCAACTATTAGAAGTACTAAATAGTTTTCCTAAAGCAGCACACACGAGTACACATAGCACAATGTTTTTTGCCAATCAAAATGGCACCCTAGTAACAGTTGCTAAGCAACATGATTATTAGCCACACCCACTGTCCGCTTATGGAGGTCAATAGATGTGCAAGTTCTTCTACTGGTGCACAGTTGGCTGTCCGCTGTCTGGAAAAGAGAGGGCCCGCTGTACGGAGGTTTTATTTGTATTGCATGCATGGGAAATTCAATTGGTACACCAGGTACTGTCCGTTATAAGGTAGGTGTCCGTTACAGGGACTGTCCGTTAACAGAGGTTCCACTGTACTAGAAAGCAGGTTGTTTGGCCCAATTTTATAACCCACTGACAAGAAGCTGCAGGAGCATTATGCCAAAATTCTGTAGGAAACCCTGCATATTACTCTGATTAATTCCATCTCTTTCGAATCAAGTATTAACTGAGAATGATGATACAACATTATATCATTAACCATCTTTCGGGACTGAATCCCTAACTGATGATTTGTATTAACTGACTCAGTTTATTACAATGTAGCTATTTTTTGCCTGCTACATGTAAATGTACAGCAAAGTACATTAATATAGAATCAATTAGTAGTTTGTCGTACAGTATTAGTAATTACTTGTTTTATGTACATGCACGTGTAGGTCACTGCAGTATTTGATAGTCTTTCCAATTCATCTGAAGTATGACAACCATTGGAGCTTTAAACCTTTATTAACATAATGGAAGGTAAAGAGAGGAGGGACAGATTTGTATGTGAAGAGTGAATTTCTAAATTATTAAAATGAAGGTAGTACAAATGGAGGGAAGTGGTATTAACTTTGTGTGTGTAATATACTGCAGTATATTTATGTACAGACAAATATTTTTCTTTTTATTCTTTCATTAGTGTCTTATGGTATCATGAATATCCTACAAATATGGAGTCTCTGTGAGTAATATTAAAGCAGTACTTTAAAGGTGTATTTATAGCCAAGTGGAGGGTAATTGCTTTCCCTGCCTCCTCCTAAATGAAACTCAGCTAGGAAGTTGCATAGGATTCTTGAGCCTAAAAACGTATGGGCACTCAAGACCTTGATAAACACAGATGTACATGTAATTCAGACATTCAAGTCAACAAATATTATTGTAATGTTAGTGTACATTATTATTATTATTATTATTATTAATAGTGATCAATATGTTAGATGCATTGTTATCATTGGTAATATGTATTATATTAATGACGTCATTATGATATATATAATTGATTGTTAATAATTGATCTTGTGTGAGTTTTTGGGTTCATGATGCTTGGTTAAGATTGATCAGTCAACTCGCTACATTATCAATCACTATCTTCCAGTTTTAGAGATAATTTGTATTACATATACATGTATTTATTCCGGTTCCGTGTAAATGTAATTAATTCTTGGGTATACATTTGTGTTATATAGCACTCAGTATGGTCACAACATGTGCACAAATATTCTGAACCTAAAACATTAAATGTTTTTTATAAGTACATAATACACTCCTGTATAGTACCAGTTTCTAATTAATTTTCTTCAGGTCACCTGAATCCTTATGCTTTGTCATTGATGGGTGGGAAATTTGTACTTGGTATAATAACTGTTATTGTATAGTGCAGACATAAAAGGCTCCTTGCTTAGTATAGTGACAGCAAGGCTTTGATCTAGTATACTTTTGTGTTATTATTAGTAATCCTGTCAGGTCACATGATTGCCTTGTGTTAATTTGGTGTCTTGTGTTAATTTGCTGCCTTGTGTTAATTTGCTGTCTTGAGAGTTGTCTTGTTTTAAAATGGCAGTTGAACCGTCTTCCTCTTCTCCAGGTCTCTTAAAACTGGAGGAACAGCTCACTTGCACGGTTTGTCTTGACATTTATACCAACCCCAAGACTTTACCTTGTCTACATTCATTCTGTCAGCACTGTCTGGAGGGATTACCACTGGATAAGAAGAATGAGACTTATTACCTCTCTTGTCCCACTTGTCGTCATTGTACAGAGTTACCAGAAGAAGGAGCAGGAGCTTTTCCTGTAGCATTCACTCTCAACAATCTCAAGGAGGTACACAGTTTAATGCAGAAAGTAGCTGATCCTGAAAAGGTTGCTTGTGACAACTGCAGCTCAGCTAATGCCACTAGATGCTGCAGGGATTGCAGTAAGTTCCTTTGTAAAAAGTGTATAGCAATGCATAAGCAGTGGACAGAATTTGCTAATCATAAGATAGTGAGTCTTGATGAGGTGGCATCAGCTCCCTCTGAAATACTGTCTAAAAAGAAAGCTGAAGCAAACCTCACATGTCTGGTACCCAGTCATGATGAGCCGCTAAAATATTTCTGTGAAACCTGCGACGAATCTATCTGTCGTGATTGTGCTATACTCACTCACAGAGATCACAAGTATAACCTCATTGCTGATATTTATGCCAAGCACTGCAAGGCCTTGGAGCGTTCTCTTAATCCGGTGAAGGGAAAAATCGAAGCACTTAACGAGGCCATGGCTACTATAGAAGGATTCGAGGCTGAGGTAAGAGAAAGAGGAGAAGCAGTGGTGGGGGAAATTCATAATATGGTCGAAGAGATTATTGATACTGTTCGTCAGTCAGAGAGGAAACTGATTGAGCAGGCACAGATGGTAACTGATGCTAAACTAAAGGTGCTCTCTGGACAGAAGAAATCAGCAGAGTCGAGTTTGAGCCTTCTAAACGATGTAAAGGATTATGTAGAGCAAAGTTTAAAGACAGGGACTCCTCAACAAGTTCTCACCTCCAAAAAACCGATAATTGGGCGTATAAAGGAGGTGGCAGCTCAAATTCGTGTGGAGGAGCTGCTGCCCATTGAAAAAAATGATCTCACATTGATGAAGGGGGTTAAGATTGATAGTGACATTGGGTACATTACATATTCTGCTTTACAGTGCTGCAGGGGTAAAGTTTCCTGTTTTGAAAATAATCCAAAAGATAGCAAGGCTTCTTTTTCTCTCTCATTAGAGGCACCAGACTCATCTCTCATGTCAGTCCCTCTCTCTTTTTTCAACTGTAGTCTGGTTGGTAAAGATGGTCAACCCATTCACACTACAGTCACTACCACCAGCACTGATCCTGGAGTGTATAGGATACAGTGTAGCCCAAAGACCAGTGGCACCTATGCAATAAAAGCTCAAGTATATGGTGTACAAATTAAGGACACATTGCTACTCATCCCTTTCAATCCTTATTATCACAGCATCACTCCAGTACGTACGATAGAGGTAAACATCCTGT